GTATTCGCTATTTAAAATACGCATTCGGATAGAAAAAAAATTTCAATCTATTCTATATTTTAATCCATTCTCGTTTGCTGAGGAGTCAAAATTGTAACTGATTACCGTTACTGTTACTGATTCTCAAAAGTAACTTGTTATTGTTATTATTACTTAAAAAGTAGATAATAATTCGTTATTTTTCCGTTATTATTCTTTAATGCTGAAATAAGATCAGCACTAAAAAATTTTGCAATATTTGTTTAAATATTAAATATAAAAGCAATAAACATTAATGACATTAGACTGATATGTGAAAATATAACTAAGAACTTTCGAACTTTATTAATTAAATATGTTTAAAACATGTTTAAAAAAAATATAATATTTTGTCCTTAAAAAAAAACATTATTTTTTATCAACTCTGATTTTATTGCATAAATAGATTTTTCCAAATTGATTTTCAAGAAATTGATTTTTTTAATATAATCTCTCTAGTCACTCTAGTGAATCGATCCAGGTTGCTACGATTCAAGATTGATTCAAAGATTGATCTTCAATATATAAATTTCTCTTAAGACTATACTAAGATCGTCTTAAATATAAGAACGTATTTATTCGTCTTAAATACAAGAACATATTATTATTATTATTATTATTATTATATAAATATTAGATATAGTCTACGTGATGCTACAAATGCTTTGCATTCTTTTATTAGTCAGTAAAATTCTTTCTTTTGATTATTGGTCAATCAAATGCTTTCAAGTATTTATAGTAATGCTTTGACCACTTGATAATTAAATTTAAACAGATCTGTTTTCTGTTTGTTAATATTACTAATAAAAAAGAAACAAACAAATTTTGCAAAGAGTACAAACTTTGTCGGCTGAATAAAAATTTAATAGAATTTGTCAACCTGATGACAGATAGAGTGCAAAAACTTATTCTAATATTTTGTGTTTATCTCAAATAATACGTTCTATTTAAATGTTTATGAAATAGCAGATTTTGATCGATTTTTGTTGGCAATCTGTCATTATATCGGCAGACTTTTGTTAGCAGAACATAAATTTCATGCGGGTACACATGCGGGATCTACAGTACGACAACCAATCAGTAACGGTAACATTTACTATTGATGTTCTGATTGTTCGCTGTCGCGACTGCTTTTACGACTTTAAAATGATCAGTTAGCAACCGATTTAAGTCAATCTGCCGCATTAATATTCTGTTGACAAGTTGCTAGTATACTGTTAACATTTCGCTCATTAGCATAATTTTATCAAACGGCGATCGACTATAAATCTTTCTTATAAATTGATCACAATATTTTATCAAATGGGAAAAGTTTTCATTCTGACTTTTATCATTTAGAACGAGGTTAACAAGACTACTTAGGGTCTATGATCCTCGTTAGATTCATAGTCGTGGCAGCGTTGTAACGTTCGCGAAAGAAATGATTCCGCGCGATCCGATGATCGCACAACATTAGCGTGAAATACCGGCCGGCAACTAATTATTACTAACGAGCGCAAAATTATCAAGGTCTTATGTTGAATAAAGGTACCCATGTAAGGGTGCAATGAAGTACTATACAGAAGCGGATGTCGAATGGAAAAGAAAGAAAAAGAAAGAGGAAGAGAGAGAAAGAGAGAGTTGCGTTCATAGCCAAGCTACCCTGTGTTGGACATCCCATTAATCGAAGCCCCTATATTTATGTAAATTTACGCGCACTTCGCGCATGGCCTACGACAATGTGCGAGTTGCACATCGAGCTATTCCCATTTACAGGCCCTATAACGCCCCTAACGCGTAACCGCGATCAACTATGATATCCGGCGGCAACGCCATTAGTAAATAAGGTGTAGTGTAATTACGCCGCGAAGAAGAGAGTGAGAGAGAGAGAGAGAGAGAGAGAAAATCAAGGGACTTAATAATGAGCAATTAAAGCGCAAGCTGCACGGAGGTAGTATTTTATTTTTTTTTCCCGTGCTTCTGTCCCCCTGGCAAATGTATGTAAAACCCATAGACTTGTATTTTTATTTTTTTTATATATCTAGCTTTATATTTAAAATTTTTTATGGAATGTTTTTATACTTAAATATATTTTGACCTAAATTGTTCGTAAAATATATAAAATATATAAAATTACGAGGATTATCTAGATCTAGGATATAGGAATTAGGATATCGGATATTCTAATAGGATAGGAATTAGAACATAGGATTATTTGAATAATTTGAATATATAGAATCATCTGAGTAATATATAAAATTGCGAAGATTAAGTAGGATTTACATTAAAATATAAACCTTTCAAATTATATATTTTTTATTTACAATAAGTAAAAGTTGATACTCTGTTATATTATACATACATCGTTTAAGTGCACTCTTGAAGGCAGCAATATCGAATTAATGATACTGCTTTCCTCGATTGTAAGACCATTATTTCTTTACTTCGGACTATCATACATTTTATCATTTAAATATATTCTCATATATCCTTTACTGTGATTGCGAAAGAATAAAAGAAGAAATATCCACGGTGAGAAACCCGGGTATGAAAGAGCGAAATAAAATTATTCCGATTGGTTAACTCCTATTTAGTTTTCTTTCTGTTATTGTTCTTTTCCGCTGTTTCTTTCTCCATTAGGACGCAAATTTTTAAGATTATCTCAAATAACAATAAATATTAATTATATCATAAATACATAGATTTGAAATACAAAAAGTAACGACGAAAGTAACCATAAAATTTGTTATCTTTACCGAAAAAATATAACTATGTCATAGTTATAGCTATAAAAAAAAAACATCATTATCAGACTCTTATAAAAAAAAAAATAACTTGTAACGATAACGGCGTTACAAGTAAGAAACTAGTTATTTCCATTCCTTGAGAAAGACATACATAAAATGCAATTGTATAATTTTCTTTACGCTTTCGTTAACGCAATTATATAAATTTGTTTGAATATTACAAATTCTAAAGACGGTTGCGGACAATATGTTATAGTCAATATATGTCAACTTTACGCATATTCACTAAATATTGGCCTACTGTTTAAGTTTTTTTGTGAGCCATATGTTTAATTTCGGGAAAAAAACACGATGTCTATAATAGCGAAACAATATCGCGTGAAAAAACGGTAGCCAACGATACATTCCTTCATTTAAACGGAACACTTTCTCTTGTTAATAGAGAGATGTGCGAATAGAGTTTCGAAAACCGCGAAAACCTATGTGCCTTTACGTTCGAGAGCTAGCTGTTATTGAACATAAAAGGAAGTTCGGAAATGAAAGGAACAAATAAAGGCACGTCTTATTGCAAATCTGAGATGTGTTTCGTTCAAGGACCGTTATAGATTTAGCTCAACGTAAAATAGATAAAACGTGTTAAATTTACAGATATACATGTTTCATATCTTTCTTGTGTATTCAATTTATCGAAAGAGTTAGGTGAGTGCTTATAATCTGCACATTTATGCTCTTTCAATAGATTTACAAATCGCATGGTCTCTCTGCAATCTAATAGATACTCTATAGAATCGCATATTATATATATATCGGATTCTTTCCGTAGCTCTAATACGAAATAAGATATATGAGAAAAGTATTCTGATTGTACTATACGGTTATCAGCTGCATTTTTTTAAGGGTATAAATCTTTGAGATCGTATACAACTTTTGGTCATTAATTAAAATTTTATATTTATAAACTTATATTAATAAAAATTGTTAACAAATAAAATTATATTATAGAAATTTTATTTTATTAAATTTTCACATTTAACGCACAGAATAATTATACTCTCTTCTTCTATGTCAGAATTATCTCTTTTAAAAAGTATTTCTATATATTTATTTATTGCGTACTCTATTTTTGTGATTTAGATATGGTAATCCTGTCCTAAATTATACCGACAAGAGGTACAAACAAAATGCATTCTATGATTACATCAATCAAAACTCAGCTGGTTATCGTAACTGAATTTCGAAGTATCTCGATTAGAATGTTTGTTAGATCTAACTAAATATAAGTATCTGATTTATATCTTTATCATTAAAAAACTATCAGAATCTTTAAATTAATACAATTAGACTTTTATCCAGTTAAAAGACATTGTTCACGTTTCTTCACTGAAAAAAAATTTGGTTGCAGAAGATTCAATTAAAATAAAAATACAAATCAAATATTTATAGGTAATTCGATAATTCATACACTCTCCTGGAATCATTTTATTGTTACTGTTTATTAAAATTAAACGAGGACAAATAAAACTCGATATGAATTTATTACACAGCAACCAGAATTTGATTGTTGTGATTAGAATGTATTTTGTACCTCTTGTTGATACAATCAGACCATTTTTCTCAATATTTGCGCGGCAATTAATTTTTCAAATTTTTTCATTCACTAGCCTAACTTCACGCGAATCAATTGGCGCGGCCCGTTAATATCACGTGACTCGAATTTCGAGTAGAAATTGCGCTTACACTCCCTCGCAATCGCTTCGCGTCATTTCGCCGGTCATGATCGTTTTTGGCAATCGTGCACGTCACGTACTAAATTTTGCAAAAGTTTTTTCTGCGATGTGAACGAGTCTTACAACGACCCCCTCGATCGAAGTGGAAACGCGATCGCGGCAAAGACGTATTCGTGTACGCAGTGAATCCGCCCGCCTCGCGTCGTTATGTGCACATACATACATACGCACATATCGCTGTTCGCGAGTGAGCAAGCGGTACACTCTCGAGGTGAATCGAACTTAAGGGCGTCGTGAAGTGGGGTGCGGACGGTCGCGGGCGCGCGCGCTGCGAGCGAGCGAGAGAAGAAGAGGGGGGAGCCCGCGAGACGGAGGGTCAAAAAATGCGAGACTGCGCGCGCAGCCGCTTTGTCTCTTCAGTCGAGTAGTGGCTCGGCGGTGCGGTGGGGGACGCTCGGAACCACGAGGGGGCCACCAAGGGTCCACGATCGGACCATGGCGGAGCAGCGGCAAACTGCATCCTCTCAGTCGGCCGCTGAACCCGCGCGCCGTACGGTTGGTACGCGTGCGTTTACCGCGCTCGACCGTCCGTCCGTCCATCCGTTCGAACGTTCCTTCGTTCCGCGCACTGTTCGCTGTCTTTTGCTGTATCGCCTCATATCGCCTTCTTCCGACTGCCGTTGCGAGCGAGTCCGACGCGTGCAAGTGATATCCGCACGGTTTTCCTCTGTTTCTTCCTCCGGAACTGCTTGCAGTGTCTACCCCCGACTATCGTCGTCCAAACAGCGGTGTTCCATCCGAGAGGAAAGCGACGGAGTCAACGACGGGTGCTACTTGACTTGGTGAGACTACGAGATCTACCCTTTTGGATTTTTCGGGATTGTTTCTCAGACTGTGGTGGATCGTCCTCGTACGCGGTCAACGCGAATCCTTCCTGCACATGGTGAGTACGCTATGAACATAATACTGAATGCCGCATTGACCGGCAGTTGCCTCGCGAAACGGCCACCCTCGCCCGGCTGGTGACTCACGCGGGGGGAGGTGGATCGAAAGGGATGAGTGGATGCAGGGCTTATTATTCCCGCGAGAGAGTACCGTTATCTCCTCGCCAAAATTGAATAGCAAATACATCGATATTCTAGCCGAGGGGAAGAGGAATGGAGTTGCCTCTAATGTCGGTTTTTTTATCAACGTAGATTGACTGTAATTTCGATTAATTTAATTTTTCATATTTTCCTTTAGTTTTAAGGATTAGAAAAAGATAAATTGTAATGTGAAGTAATTGTAAAGTCAATCTAGATTGTGATAAAAATGCACTTAAGAGCAAATGGAATGTTTTGGATTTGAAAGTTTCCATGCACTTGTTTCTTCAATTTGAATTTCATGGAATGATGATATCTTTGATCGTCGGAAAGTGACGATCGATATGAAGGAGTGAACGAGATTTCCAATATGGCTCCTAATAGATATTTTGTCCTTGCGAAAGATCGAGGCACGCTCAAATTTCGAGCTGCATCGAATGAATTGACGTTTATGTCGATATTATCGGGTCACGGATACGATTTTCTATGCAGGTGCGACCATTATAATCCGAGCATTCAATTTGAGCAAAGCAGACAGGTTATGTTTCTTCTCCGTAATGCCCATTTGGAAAACCATGTGGTTATTTTATTACACCAGCAAGATATACTGCCTATTGTATATACAAATAAAAGAATTTGCACATACGTATTTGTATGTAATAAGAAATATACGTAGGCATTGATTTTTCGATCAAATTATCCAACGAATTGGATCTAACGAAATCTAGTTTAACGCCTGTTTCTACCAATGTAATTTAGTTTTAATCTCGGTTCAACTAACTCTTCATCTTTCTCTAGTATTAGTATTAAGAATTAGGAAAAGATGAGAAGAGTAAGTTGAACTGAGATCAAAGTTAATCTACTTTGGTAGAGATGTGCGCATAATAGAAACATATAGGTTAGGTTAGGTTTTTTTATTATGCATCAAGAAAGTATTCAAAGATACAAGAATGAAGATATATGCCATATAATTTTCTCAAAAAATGTATTTTGTATAAATTTTGTGATATTAAATTAGCAGCTATAAATAGAATAATGTCGCGCGTGAAATCTGTATCTTCTTTTCGGAGTAATCTTTCTTGACTTTCGTCTATCAGGGAACGTCGTTTTCAGATTTAAATTCTGCATTTTAGGGCGATTAACTTTGAATTGTCGCCGACCGCACTTGATCCCGAAGCGTGATTAGTTTTTTCTCCTTTTGCAAAGATCCATTCTTGTCGCTATAAAGGATTCTTTGGCCTCGGGGCAATTTTTTTTTGCTTAAAATAAAAATCATGATTTATCGCAACTTTGAAGTTGTAACATGCTATATTTTGTAATTAATTTTTAATTTATGATTCTATTAACCTTTAAGTAGTTAGGAATTGTTCCAAACAATGCCCAAACAATTTTTATTTTTATAGTTATATTTTTTAATTATGTAGAATTAAATTTATTTTATTTGTACCTTTACATGTGATAGAAGAATGTAAAAGTAATAAACTTAAGGGCGAGACGTTTATGAACTTGGCACTTTTTACAAATTAAATTTTTTTATTAAAAAATGATAGTCTTTTGTTTGTAGTTGTTTGTAGCAACAATAATTTCATTTGTAGTTTCATGTATAATTTATAAAAAGTCGGATATCAAATTCACAAAGGTCTCGTCTCGGAAAAGGAAAATAAAAAGAGCCTAGAAATTTTTAAGTTTATTACTTTTCACAAAGGTCAGAACGACGTTTTTGAGATAATTGGGCGTGGGATACTGTAGCCACCTACCTGTTTAAAGGTTAACAAATTCAGAACTGATTGAAAAATATCATTATATTATTATTATTTACAAGTCACTGAATTTTTTCCGCTTTATTTAAATTTGAAATAAAATTTTTAATCCACTTGGAAATGATTTTTTTCCTCCGCTTCTGAAAAACAATTTACTGCAAATTTTTAATAAACTATATTTTCAAAAATTTCTATTTTACAACTTTATTAAGAAATTAATGCGGTATAATCTGAAAAAGTGATATGTCTTTGTTATCTATTTTCTTTAAAGCTTGCAGTTATTGAAAAATCTTGTTATCCTTTTATCTTTTGTTATTCGTTTCCTTTACAGCTTATAGTTATCGAGAAATTTTGTATGTTCTTTTGATAATTCGAAATATCTTTTGGCTAGAAAATAGACGGTGATAATATTTTTGTTTGTCAAATAACTGTTTCAAATGGGACAATAAATCTGTGAGGAGAAAGAGATTCGGAATGATACGTTTTGGGACATTGCGTTTACTTCTAATAATAAAAGCTCTCAGAGTAACTCGCTAATGAGTACGCTGTGAAGAAAGGGAACGGCCGCGCTCGCCGGGTTTTCACACGTGCAAACGCCAACGCGAGCAAAAGTGACGCAACTGAGAGAAAAGTGCTCGCTATCGCGAATAAAGTCGGGAGTTTTTGATTCCGCGCGAGTCGCGCGCTTTGCATGCAATCTCCGCGTTGTGGTGGCTCCGTTAGTAAGTATCTGTCGTAATATTCGCAAGAACTCATTTTTGCGGCCGATAATTTTTCGCTCGTCTAAAAGCCATTAGTTGGCAGTTTAACGTTGAAGTCTCTGTTGAAACACTTTTAATAATAAAAGAAATACATTATCCGTCAGACAAAAATCGTATCTTCATCTTTAAATAGTCGTACGCTAATAAACGCGATAACGATCGCAGTGACGCATAGTTATTATGTAATTATTATTAAGCGCCGATTATTATGCGCTCGAATAAGCGTTTCCTTGTATTGATTTCGCCGAGAAAGTCATCCTGTATCGATGATCGACGATCGTGCGTGACGTAACGCGCGACATTTTCGAGTTTTTCGCTTCCTCCGTGAACGACCGGTTTTCCTACGATCGCGCGCGGTTTAGCTGAGATTTTTCGACCAGATGCGCGAGTATCAAGTGTATCATGTAAATGGAGAAGCAAGAGAGCCGCGCGTTGAATACTTCTCGGCGGCGGCGACTCGTTCTCGAGTGCACAAAATTGTGCGTGTCTCGCATGATATAATCATAAGTGATACTAAGAATGAAGGGATTAACATAATACGAACTGGAGCTGTAATACTGTAGTCGTATGTCACGCGCGATGAGTGCACACGTCGTTTTATCATGTGACTTTCCTTCCCCTCCTGTGTAGACGTCATTACTTCCTCCGGATGAGATACAATGAAAAAAAGGGCAAATTATAGGTTGCACGAAGTACGTCTTTATGTACGTATAGTCTTCATCGGAACGTATCTTCAGGAAGTAGGGCTCAACTAGCGTACGTTGACACTGACTTTTCCAACTTTTTCCTCTCGCATGTATTATTTCTCACAGGGAACGATATTTTTATATATTCACAATGTGTTGTGTATGTGTGTGTGCCACGATGGTCAATAAGATTTTTTTTATATTCTTAGAATTTTAATTAAAGCATATTCACAATTTTGATAATCAAATGTTGATGCAACGGAAGACTCGACGTCGCAAAGCAATCCTGTGCTTCCTTCCGTTTAAATCTTGATAACATAAGTCATCAATAACTGCAATCTGGCGTAATTGCCGTAATTGCTATAACATTCCCATCGCGAGGAAAGCTACTGTCCGCGCACTTTGGTCCGTAATTAAAGGCGAACTTGCGTTTCCACGCTCTTAAGTGTTAACAACGGCAATTATCCATAATCGCGGTTTATTACCTATAATTCAGATCACAACATTCCCATATATTCAGATTGATACCTCTCACGGCCCTTAATTGAAAGCGACGTGTGTGCGATCGAAATTACGTTTAATCGTATAACGACGCTGTCATCGCGGAATATCTGAGGAAGGACTTTCGCGACGTCGTAGTTCGATTTCAGAACCGCTCGAGAGGAGCGCAAACCGCCAAGTTATGCCAACTCCCGACATTAGTGTCGCAGTACGACAATCGATCTTTCCGGCTAACCCGACTACCGCAAAGCTTCCGCTGTGGAAAATCCCACTTCGCGTCTATTAACCCTCGGAATCTTGAATGAACCACTCTATCACGTAAAACGTACGAAAGATAAATTTAGGAAAACATACAATAGTAAAAGACATAACAATTTTAAAAGCACGTGTAAATTATATATTTTATATATATTCTGTATAAATATTTGTATTAACAATGGAATATATATTATATATATATATTATGTTTTATTATCGCTATGTATATTTATTAATATTATTTTATATTTATTGAATTATTTAATAAACGGGAATGGCGGTCATTCGAGAAAAAAAAAAAACGTATATTCTAGTATTCTGTTCGCGGCATCGCCACGTCATAATAGTAGACTTGACTTAACATAAAAGTGCGACATACAGATATTCGGAGCGATAAAAAAACGGTGTCCTTTAAGGTCACCAAGCGCAATTATATCGAAACGAGCTCTATCCAACGATACTTAATAGTATCCTTTGCTTTATCCTAGCAACTTTCATCTACGTATACATACATTCGCGTTTACACATTGAGTACATTGTTCACGGTAAAGGGTAATTGTTGTTCGCCCGGCGATTCGACACGGAACTTCACTATACGTTCTTGATACCCTTCAGTCCGTATTTTCCATTCGCACTTAAATCCATTTAACGGTACATTTAATGATCCTATTTTTATACTTTGTGATATGAATGTTATATTTCAATGGAGAAACCGGTGAGAAAAACGGGTTTTTCTCGTATCCCACTGGCTAACAAAACGAGATTAAAAGTAAAAAAGTCACGGACACGCTGATTTAAGATTTCGCGCACGCCGATGAGAGGTATTGATGTTTGCGCGGCTTTATTGATTGACCCTTGAAACCACGTGCAGTGTGTGTTACCAGGCGAGGCGTCG